TGATGCACCAGGTGGTACAGGTGCTAGAGGAAAAGCGATTAGTGGAGACAAAGTGGAGATGGTGTGAGAGGTAGGATCTGAACCATTCAAGGACAGAATCATGAAGGTTGAGGTGAGAGAACCGATGGTGGATAGAGTGGTTAACGACATTGAAGACAGCAGAATCATCAAGGAGGATGAGGAGCAGGAGAGAGCCTGAATAAAGATGGATAAAATATCATTTGTCACTTTGACCAGGGCTGGTTCTGTTCTGATGGTAAAATCAATTGCAGGTATTTGTGTACAAAAACAGCAACAAAATGACATTTATAGAGCAACTTTCACGTCGGGAGGATGTCCCAAAGCGCTGAACAGTCAGGTGTAGGGGTCGATCATGTGGGAGGGGTGGAGTAGGGATGAAGGAAGGCAGAGAGGTAGGAGGATGACCGAAGGCATGATTGAAGAGATGGGCCTTGAGACCAGTGATGAAGGAGGAAAGGGAGTAAGCGAGGCAAAGTGAAAGTGGGATGGTCTTCCAGAGTATGGGGGCAGAGAGGCTGAAATCCTGGCCACTGATGGTAGGGTGGGTCAGGCGGGCGTCAAGGAGCAGACCGGAGCCCGCTAAACGGAGGGACCGGGCAGGTTGGTAGGGAGACAGCAGGTCAGAGAGGTAGGAGCGGGCAAGGCCATGGATGGCCTTAAAGCTGAGGACGAGGATCTTGAATTCAATCCTTTGGGGGATGGGGAGACAGTGGAGTGGAAGTGATGGGGTCACGGAGCCTGGTGCATGAGAGTACATGAGCGGCAGAGTTTTGGATGATCTAGATATAGGGACTGGCCGGAGTAGAAAGAGCAAGACTGAGAAGCAACCATTCATTCCAGGACCTTGGAAAGGAAAGGCAGGTTGGAAATAGAGAGGTAGTTTGAGAGGGATGGGTTCAGGGAAGGCTTTTTGAGGATAGGGGGCGGATGTTTTAAAGGGGGTGAGAAACGATGATGAGATATGTGAATAAAGGGGCAAGGTGGTGCAGCTGGGAGTTAAGGAAAGGGGTAGAGATGGGGTTGAGGGAGTAGATGATCGATTTCAAGGGGTTATAGTGGTTATGAGAGAGAAGGGGGAGACAGGTTTGAAAGTGTGGAAGGAGGTATAGGTAGGAGGAGAATATGGAGGAGAGATGGGTGAGGGTGAGAATGTGAGTGGATTAGTCGGTTTGTAACGGGGAAGAAGAGCTTTGGCTTTTCCTTGGCCTCCACGATTCTTGTTAGGTAGAAGGAAGATTCAGCGCCTTGGGACGTCCTCCTGACGTGAAAGGCGCTTTATAAATGGAATCTTGTTGTTGTTGTTGTTGTTGTAGGTGAAGGCAGAGCTGTACGTTTTCACGTCATCCAGCCAGATCTCCCAGTGGACCATTAATTTAGATTTGAGCCAGTTGTGTTCAGCAGCATGCATCTGTACCTTGTAACATAGTGACGTGTGTGCATGGAGACAGTTTGGGAGGTGTGAGTGCCAAGGGCACCAGGAGTGGCTAAAGGCAGCTGTGAATGCGAGTGACTGAGGATAAGTAATTGTGGAAGGAAGCCCAGAAGCGGAGAAGTTCAGAATACTCCAGAGAACGGATAGGGATTGCTGGGAGATTTTTTACCAGGGGTGGTAAGAGATAGAGGTGGGATTGGTGGGGCTCAAAAGATAGATTCAGTAATTAAGGAAGATGAAGAAATGGTCGAGGTGACTATTTTGGTGAATGTGAGGTCCTAGAATAATCATAATAATAATAAAAATAATAATAATAAAAATAATAACAAATGTAATTCTTGCATTTGATATAGTGCTTGCATATCTTCTAGACATCGCAAAGTGCTTCGCAGAATATTCTATGAAGTCAATTAACTAAATATTTGTGGGCGAAATGTGGCAACAACTGCACACAGCAGTGTCCCACAGACAGTCGTGGATTCGAGTGACCAATATTTTTATTAATTTTTTTCTTGAGAGATTATTCATTTGTGTGGAGTAAGGAAACATACCCAAAGTTGCACCCTGTCGGGAATCGAACCCTGGTCTCTCCCTTGCGAGGCGAGTGCTCCAACCACTGTGGTACAGGACTGTATAGATCAAGAAGCGCTGAGGCCGACAATGGAACCCAGGAACTACATTGCTCCACTTGTATCCATCCCTTGAAGACTTTGGTTATGCTCCAATGTGCTCACAGTTCCTTTCATTTCTTCATCACTTCTGGTCTGGATTGGGGAGGGGGTGGACCTGATTACAGCAGATAATAATGTATGGTTGATCATCAAGACTTAAGATGGGCTTTAAAGATAGCGATGTGTAAGGCAGAGGAAGTCCATGATTTTTAAACATTGAGAGCAGAAAGCCTGCAAAGTTGCCCACTGATATGGGATGGGTTAAGCCAGGGATGGGTAGAAGAAAGATGTTTGCTGATCAGAGGGATGGGAGGATTTTATGACATTGCAGAGGCAGAGTGAGGCGAAGTGATGTCCATGTATGTTCAGCCTTCGCTAATAGGTATAACCTCTCAGTTCTGGGATCATCCTTGTGAATCTCCTTTGCACCCTCTCCAGTGTCTCTAACCCCTTCTCTAATGTGGGGACCAGAACTGCACGCACTATTCTACGATCTGAAGGGTAAGCTGCCTTAGGAGGATTGTCCTAGGATTATCTAAGGATTGTCCAAGGAAATAGCTTGCCAGACAGCATTTTCACTGATAAGGTGTGTGGATTCAGTCTGTTAGATTCCAACAGTACCCCAAATCATATTATGTGGTCACCAAGATTTCAGGCTACGAAACCTGATACTCAGCAATAATATGTAAGCATCCCTCCAGCCACTGCATCCAATAAATATCTTTATTAGAATTTCCGATCCAAAAATCTCCTTTGGTTTGGAGAGTCCTAAACCGAACACTGGACATCCGTATGTATCAGACTTGCAGCTGACAAAAAAATCAATCAATCGGGCTCTGTGGGCAGCACTGTCCTCGTCGTCAGAAGATTGTGGATTCCACTTATGGACTTTTAAGTCATATTCACCTAAACTGACATTCCGATGCTATGCTCGGGGGTGCTGCATTGCATCAGGTGTCATCCGTCGGAAGAGACGTTAAACTAAAGTGTAATTTACCTGCATAAGTGCAAGTTAAAGATTCTATAACACTCTTCAAAAATAGAAGGTGTTCTGGCCGTCAACTCACTAAACAAAATCGGACAATCAATTCATGGCTGTTTTGTGGGACATTGCTTTGTTCAAATAACTGTTGCTTTCATCTACATCATTCCTGTACTCCACAGTAAGTCAAGTGAAGTAAAGCAACTATTGTGTTATTTACTGCCACCTCTCCTGGTGTCTGGAAGAGAAGTTCCCTTCATACCTTTGGGTTTGATCTGATCTGGGTGTGGTTCTGTTACCACTGAGATATTATTGCACACTTAAACTCTTCGCATATCTCAATATTAGAACCACCCTTCTATGACTAACCTTTTGTTCTTTGTATGCTTCTAAAATACTTCAGGTTTCCCTTTTATCATAACCACTAATCCTTTTTCATAAAATCTCTTTGCCCCTCTTATTTCCTTGTTCGGTCTCCTCTGTACTTTGTATATTCTGTTTGATTATCTTCTGTATTTTAGACATTATATTTATCGTAAAACTCCCTTTGATGTTTTATTTTAATCCCAATTTCCCAGGGAGTTTTTGGATGCCCTACCTTTCTCCTTGGAAATGTATTTGTTCTGACCCCGAACTATCTTCTGCTTGATGGCTTCCCATTGCCCGTTTGCTGCTTTCCTGCCAATCCCTCTTTTCAGTCCACCTTGGCTCAGTCCCTTTTCAGCTGACTGAAATTAACCTCTTCCAATTCAGTAACATCACCATTGATAGTTCCTTGTCCCTTTCCATCAGTACTATAAATCTAGTGATTTTTTCATCACTATTATCCAGATGCTCTCCCATTGAATCCTGCTCCACTTGCCCCACCTCATTCTGCAGAATGAGATCCAGAACTGCTTCCTTCCTCGTTGGGCTGGAAACATACTGATCAAGAACGTTTTCCAGCAAACACTTCAGGAATCTTTCCCCATCTGTGCCCTCTACACAATTATATTGCCAATCTATGGGAGGATAATTGAAATTCCCATTATCACGACTGTTTTCGTTTTACATCTTCTCTCATCTCTTCACTTGCACAAGCACATTCACTGAGAAGCTCATTCCTTTACCAGGCCATTTTGTGCCAGACACTCCCAGACCCTGACCCGATAACAGGGAGTGAGTCATGAATGAGACCAGTATTGAGGGGTGCGGTTGACCAATGTCTGTGGTGGATAATGGAGTCCTGTAGCTCAGTGGTTAGACCACTCGCTTTGCAAGCGTGAGACCTGAGTTCAATTCCAGGCAGTGCCAAACCTTGGGCAAGTTTCCTTACTCCACACAGAGCCTAATAATAATCCGTCCAAAACCCAAAACAATAATAAATTGGTCATTTTCAATCCACGACTGCTTGTGGGACATTGGTGTGCGCAATTGTTTGCCGCATTCGCCCACAAATATACAGTCAATTCACTTTACAGTGTGTTTTGTGAAGCGCTTTGGGACGTCTTCCCGACGTGAAAAGCGCTATATCTAATGCAAGGATTATTATTATTATTATTATCATCACCTGTTATCAGGCAGAGAGTGAGGTGAGCGTGAGCGGTGAGAGAGTGAGTGTCTGGATGATATTGTGAGGGTGTTTGAGAAAGTTAACCAACAACAATACTTTCTGAAATTGGGAGCTTAATTATAAAGATTGGAACTTGACTATGTTGGCAAAATAGCTCTGTGTCCTGTTTGCTATAGTTACTGCAGTGATTGAAGAGCAATATTAGCAGTGAATCAAACTCTTACAAGTGACCTTCGAAGTCAGAGAAGCTCCTCCTTCTATCATTCTCCAATGAGTCGCTGACATGTAAAAGTATTTGAAGTAACGACAGAAGAGAAACTCAGCAACGGTCAGGAAGCTGCTTCTTTCACTGAGAGGAAGAGTTATAGAGACCGACGCCCTGGGACCTGCTCCGTTTGTTTAACAAGGAAGGGAACGTACAAGGGATAACTTCTCATCTGTTAGGTAAGATCAAGTGAAACTTGAAACACTCATCCACCCTTTCATCATCTACTGCCTGACTATTCCAATGCCTTCCTCGCCATTCTCTCAGCTCCACTATCCACAAACTCCAACTAATTCAGAAACCCACCTCCCATATACTCAACCAATCTAAACTCCATACATCTATCTCACCAGTCTTTACTGGGCTCCACTTACACCCTATCACAGAACCGATCGACTTCAAGATCCTCACACTGGTCTTCAAATCCTTTTGTGGCCTGACACCTCCCTGCCTCTCCAACTTAATGTCCAACCCACAAGCCGCTGCCACTGCTCGACTGGCATTGGCTTCCTGCTTCTCCCTCCTCCACACTGCACCACAATCGGCCACCGTGCTTTCAGGCTTAATCTTTGGAAGTTTTTCCCTCAATTTATCTGCATTGCTACACTCATTGCCCATTTTCAGATTGAGCATGAAAATACTAGACTTCAGCTCTGCTTACGGTCATCTCCCCCTCCCAACAGCTCAGCTTCAGGCCCCACCAATTGTTCAACAAGCCGAGATGCTACCCTACATAAAGGGCTCTCTATGTTGCTCTTTTATTGGCGTAGTGTTAGGGCTTTATTGGAAAGGGAGCGGGTATTTGGAAGGAAATGCGAGTGCTGATGGAGGAGGCCAAGGGAGGGAGGTGGATTTTTTGGGTGTGGGTGTTGAGTGACCAAAGAGGGGGAGAAGAGTTAGTAAAGTTAAGGATGTGGAGTAGTGAAGGGATATTTGCCTTTTATAGATGGGATTGGCTGATATTTTGGATAGAGTGAGCGATGAGCTAGTTGGGATGGTTGAGAATCATTGTGGATGCCCAAGCTGGAGCAGAGAGTGTCCAGGCAGGTCAGAGGGAGGCAGTGTTAGGGTCCAGGAGAAAGAGAAGTTGCAGAGAGTCGTGAGAGAGAACTGATTGAGAATAGTGAAGGAGTAGAAGCAGGAGTATTTTATGCTGGCAGAGATTTCAAGGGTCATGTTTCAGGAAGGAACATTACAGTATGGGAGGATGGGGTTCTGTCAGGAAAGATGTACTATCGCCCCCTCGTGGCTGCGATCAGTATTGCAGTATTTCCTGTCTGTGGAGTTGTGTTCAGTCCTCACAAAGGAGTCGGAGAATCTGAAACGCAGAGCTCACTGAGCACTTAGTCACTAGGCTCAGGCCGGACTTGACCTCCTGGAGAGGTGATCCCATTACCTGAACTGGTTGAGAGGCCATGAGTAAGGAATTGGATCCACATCTTCTGATAATGTTGGATGTCCTCCTGCCGTGATACAACTGCAATTTGTTGTTGTTGTTGATGATTAAGGAATTAAAGTGGGGGGAGGGTGGGGGCGTGGAGGCTTTTCTGGGGGACACCTGCCTTCCTGCTAATGCAATGGCATTCAGTTTAATTCACATTATTAAGGGATGAGTAGGAGCAATTACACTCACCAAAATAAAACACACATTTTCTAATCTCTGCATTCCTTGCATTATGATAACTCACATAAAACAGAAACTTGCATATAAACGTGAGCACCTCAAAGCTATTTACAAAATATAATTGTTCAGAAATTAAGGTGACAGAACACTCATTCCAATTTAACTTTGTGGTCTATTATTGCTGCAAATAAGAGACAGGGACACACTTCTGGGATACTGTTGCACCTACAATAATCAACATAATTTACATGAACCATATCTAAAGGACTACAAAGGGAGAAGGAGAATTTTCTGATGTCCTGGTTGACAATTACCCCCCAAAAAATGTCATGCATTTCATGTATATTTGTGTGATTCTGTGTTTTAATCGGCATTCACTGTTAGAAATTCACGCAGTGTATCCTATGAAAGACTTTGAGAGCTGCTGATGTGAAAGGTGACATACCAATAAAGATTTTTATTGTTATTTGCGCTGAAAACACCACTTAACCCAATTAGTTCACTCGATTTCAAACTAAGCTCATATTAAGTCGTCATCCATAACCTCCCCACATCCCTTCCTTCCCCTGCTCATATGTTCACCTCCACCCTCCATCCTCCCTCTGACTCAGGGTCGAGCTCCACCACTGTCAAGCCCTCTGGGATGCTTCCCTGCAAGAGGGAACTGTGCTAATTGCACGGTGGGGTTGCAACTTGTTGTCGATAAACATCCCACGGAAAAGAGAAAAGAGTTTCTGCCATATTCCTGATCAACAATGGTTCCATGGTTGTATGGAAAACAATGAGCTGTGAAATTTTCTGCCATTTTCACCCACAAAATATACTCAATAGCACCATTTCACAATATAATATATCCTGTGAAGTTCCCTTTATCTTTTATTTTATTCTCTTTTATTAGCTAATAATTGCCCAAATTCTCAGTCATTGAGAGATTCCATTAACTTCCCCACAGCTGAAGTTCCTATCCTGTTAATTTTAATACACTTGTTTGGGTACCATCAGTTCCTGGAGATTTGTCTGCCTTTAGCCTCATTATTTTCTCCATTACCATTTCTTATTCATATCAAATCCATCAATATTTCTCTTTGATTTAATGTTAGTTTTCCTTGTATCGCTGGTATTTTGTCCTCTTCCTCTTTGTGCAGACGGAAGTATTGATTTAACCAGTAAACATTAAATCAAAGAGTCCTCTTCGACCACTCCCATTGCCCTCCCCTCCTGACCCTCGATCGGGTCTGAAATGCAATACTCTGTCCAGCTCCTTGGGACGTCCTTCTGACGTGAAAGGCACTATACAAATGTAATCTTGTTGTTCTTGTTGTTGTTTACATTTCCTTATTATCCCGAATTGTCTCACCTATATTTATTATTGGGCACAAATTCCCCTTTAACCACTCCCTTTTTTCTTAATGTAATTATAACAACTTTTACTGTTGCCCTTAATACACTTTCAAGCGTTTTCCCCCCAAGTCCCATTTTGATCTTTTATTTCTTTACTTGTGACACTCTGTTATACCTGTCTCAGTTCGTTGGATTTCCACTTTTCCTTACATTAGCTTGATACTGTCTTGTCTTTTAACTTGATAATGTCTCTTACCTCATTTGCTGACAGTGGTTGCTTGCTTACGCATTTGATCAGTACTCTGGTAGATATGTTGCTTTGCCTTTGGTCAACTTATATTTCCATAGCGCCCTTCACACATGTTAGCGTCCCAAAGCATTTGATACTGGTGGAGCATGACACTGAGGGAGGTGGGAGGGAGGGTAAGATTCTTCAATTATCTTACACAACTGTTTGTATGCAAACCCAAATTCCTCCTAATCCCTGTTACATCTGTTTGTGATTATTATACCTCAGAAGTTATTCCCATTCCTGCGGATGATACTAATTGTTCCACCCACAAATATACAGTCAAGTCATTTTGCAGTCTATTCTGTGAAGCGCTTTCAGATGTCGAGAAGACGTGAAAAGCACTGTATCAAATGCAAGGATTATTATTATTATTTTTACAAAGAGAATAGGGCAGATGATAGAGCCCTGAGGATGCCATATATGACAGTGAAGAGTCAGGAAGAAAAGCCATTGAGCGATATAATGTGTAGACAATGGGACATATAAGAATAGTACCAGGTGGGACAGAACCGTGTATCTGGAGCTGAGAGGAATGGTGGTGGAGAAGAACAGAATGATCGACAGCGAATAAAGTTGTCGATCAAATTTAAAAGCAACACAAGAACAAGAACTTGTTTATCAATAGCGCTGTACACCTGACATGAAGCCTGGTGCCCTAGATCCAATGATAACAATTATTATAATATATTTCACAGTATCTATCTATGAAATAATGAGATATTTCAGAGCAGTAATAACAATAATTGTCTCTCTCTGTCTGCAGTAGTGACGGTCGGCCAGTGTGGACAATGGCGAATGTGAACACAGAGCTGGCGTGTTTAGGCCGTCCATTCCAGTTGGGGATGTTGTATGACTGTCGCTCAGACTCTCTGATCCCAGGTAATGTCAGCCAGTAACTGCTCTTCCCAATCTGTGCTCTGACACAGCCATGTGTCGACACACTGAAAGTATAATAATAGCTGGAAGTGAAACAAACATGTCAGTGAACTCATTTAAAAATATTGCAGCAACAATTAAAACAACCTGCATTAATATAGGTTCCTTAACACAGAATAACATCTCAGATGACCTCAGACCCCAAGAAAAGAAGTGATGGGAGAAGGTGACCAGGCGCAGTCAAGGAGGCAGATATTAAGAATTATATGAATAATAATTCTTTAATCTATGATCATGTTGTTGAGACCTCTCAAAGCACTTCACAATATACTGCTAATTGAATTGACTGTGTATTTTGTGCAACTGTTTTTNGAAGGAAGCATTACCTCTGGAAACTGATATGCCAATCGACTAATAAGCAGGTTACTACTTACAAACTGTGGTGTGTGGAATGAGGATAGTTGCCTAACTATTAGCCAAACCCAGGAATACTTTACTCAGTGTGGGCAGAGTTATGTTCTGTGTGTATCCTCCATACACTGTACCTCCAGATAATATTTCACACAGAAATCTATTTAATTTGCTCTTGAAACTGATAACACTTTCTGCTTCCACTGTCCACCTCCCGAGTGAGGCTGTTCCATACACTTACCGTTACTTCTGTGGAGTACTATGGCTCAGTGGTTAGAGCACTCGCCTCGTAAGTGAGAGACCTGGGTTTGATTCACAGAGGGCAAAACTTTGGGAAAGCTTCCTTCCTCCCCATGCCTCTGCTTATGTAGCAGTAAATAGAAATCTGTTTTGTAGTCAATTGGAGAATCGCTTTTCAGGGGTAATAATTCCTTCAAAAACATAATAAAATTTGGTCTTTAAATCCACGACTGTTTGTGGGATATGCCTGTGCAATTGGCTGCTGCATTTTGCCTACAAAATGTACAGTCAATTCACCTCATGGTATCTTCTCTGAAGCGCTTTCAGATGTCATGATGAGGCACTATAACAAATGCAAGAATTATTGTTATTGTTGTTCACTGAACTTAGTATGGGCACAGTTATGTTCTGTCCAAATCCTTTATATATTTACTGTACTGAGTGTGTGCACAGTAATGTTTTGAAACAATCCTTTATATTGCTGAATTAGCTCAAAGCAGACATGGCAGGCAATGGAATGTGGAAATCGAGCGAGGCATCTGTAACAGTCAGGATCATCAGTTTTCTAAGCCGGGCAAGCCTGCAGTATTGTAGGGCACTGGCAATGACTTGACAGCCCAGCCTGGCTCATCGGCAGGACCCGGAAGGGCAGACTAGTTACTAGGGGCAGGGAGTCATCCCTCTCAGCTCCTGTTAACGCTGTAAGACAAAGTCATAATGGGTAGGGTCCGAGCTGGGCAAGCAATGGGAAAGCATTATCAATGACAACCAGTGCGGTTTTATCTGGCTAGACTGCAGCAGTATAGGAATGCACACTCTGGGCTCCCCAAACCTTGGGTGTTGATAACCTGCATTAACATAGTTTCCTTAACATAGAATAACATCTCAGATGGCCTCAGACCCCAAGAAAAGAAGAGGTGGGGGAACGTGATCAGGCGCAGTCAAAGAGGCAGGTTTTCATAATTATACTAATAATAACCCTTTCATTTGTCATACAGTGAATTATCACGTCAATGAGACCTCTCAAAGCGCTTCACGGAATATACTGCTTAGTGAATTGACTGTATATTTTGTGCACCTGTGTTTTAAAGGAAGCATTACCCATGGAAACTGATCTGCCAATCGACTGATAACTTACTTCCAAACAGTGGTGTGTGGACTGAGGAAAGTTGCCTAAGATTTTGCGCTTCCCGGGAATACTTTCCTCAGTGTGGGCAGTTACGTTTTGTGTGCATCCTTTATACACTGTACCTCCAGATAATATTTCCCAACAAAGATCTAACGAATTGGCTCTTGAAACAAATAACACTTTCTGCTTCCACTGTCTGCCTCTGGAGGGAGGCTGTTCCATACGTTTACTACACTTTACAACCTGCATATAATACATTCCAGAATTAGGTAAGCAGGATGTGTCCCTCCAGGAAGAGAATGCACCTTCCATCCCAATAACCTCTGGGATTTCCATGTGCAGGTGAGATGGATGAAGCTTGTTTTGGATACTATTAATCATTGTGATGGGTTTCCGCATATGAAAAACTAGGTGATCTCCCCTCTCAATCCCCCCCCAAAAAAAAACATATTAGTAGAATCATTGTGGACTGTATTACATTCCAGGATCAACCACAATGCTGAGTAAACTCTGTTTGATCTCCACTTACATGCTTGTGAATCCGATGGGTAGCAAACACAGTGAAGATTCCACTAATATCCCTCTTAATCCCGTCCTGGAACTAGACTCAGTGTCAATATGTTTCCTTGTCTCATTTTCTAGCTGTCACACTGTGGGACTTGGAAACATTGAAAAACCACCTGGATGTGCGACCTCAACCGAATACTGAGTTTAATATCATTGCCTCAGATGGCATTGAGGACAAAGCTGAGGCCCTGAATGTGACAGCGACATTGAAGGGGAGCTTTCTGGGTGGATTGGTCAAGGTGGAAGGTTCTGCAAAGTTCTTGAATGACAGAAAGAAATCTGAGCATCAGGCCCGAGTGACCCTCCAGTATTCTACCACAACAAAATTTGAGCAATTGACAATGACCCACTTGGGGCGCCAGAATGTGTCTTACCCCTACGTGTTTGATCAGGGCACAGCAACGCACGTGGTCACAGCAGTACTGTACGGCGCTCAGGCATTCTTTGTGTTTGATCGAGAAGTCTCTTCCTCAGAAAGTCTACAAGATATTCAGGGTTCAATGAAAGTGTGCATTAACATCATACCGAAGGTTGCAATCGAGGGTAAAGCCTCATTGAAAATGAAGGAGGAAGAGAAAGAAAATACCCAGAAGTTCAGCTGCACCTTTTATGGCGATTTCGCACTTCCAAACAATCCCACTACATTCGAAGATGCTATGAGAGTTTACTCAACTCTGCCACAGCTGTTGGGAGAGGATAGAAAGCAAGCGGTGCCTGTCAAAGTCTGGCTCTATCCACTCAATCAACTTGACTCAAAAGCAGCTCAGCTTGTAAGGGACATCAGTATAAATCTGGTCAACCGGGCCCAGGCTGTGCTGGAACAAGTCAATGAGGTGGCGACAAAATGCTGTGATATGATGAAAGACCAAGTCAGTGATCAATGTCCAGTGATAAAAGAAAAGATCCAGAGGTTCAGAGCAATGTGTGTGGAGTACAAACAGGATTTCCAGAAGGCCTTGGCCAGAGTGTTGCCATCTATTCGGGGAGGTGGGGAGGAGGAAGGGAAACTGGTGGATATTCTGAAGAACATGGAACAATCCCCATTCAGAAGCCAATCACTTGCACAATGGCTGGACAACAAGAGCAGGGAAATGTCTGTGGTCAGAAGTTACCTCAGCCAAATGAATGCCATAAAAATGGTAAAATCACGCAGTGAACTGGATATGGAGATACTGGACATGAACATAGAGTATGTGATCTGCTTCGTGTTCACATCGCTGCACCAGGAAGATTTGTATTTGTTAGAAATGGCCAAGCATCTTCGATGTGAAACGACTGAGAAAACCCAGCTTCCAACATCAGATCAGAAGCAATGGATCCACTCAGTGACCGTATCCCGTGAGATGAGAGAGCGAGCACGATTATTCCTGAGATTTCACAAAGCCAACAAAGCGGACAAAAATACAAAATTCATTGTTGCTTCTGAGCCGGACGAGGAGCATGTGGGAGCTTCCATTTACCTGTATAAAGGAGGAGATTTGGTGAACCGCTGCTTCAAGCCTCCAGCTCCCTCTGTTTGTGGAAAGACCCATGACAGTGTGAAGCTACGGCTACAGGCACTGGAAACTGGCAGTTGCGAGTCCATCCAGTTCCGGGTAGAATATCGCAGCTCCCAGGGGGAAGAATGGACAACTTCAAACACAGAAGTGGAATCAGACTTCTGCACCATAACTGGTTTATCTCCATACCAGGAGTATGATTTCCAATACAGAGCAGCGTGCAGTCCACCTAGTGATACTGTGAGTGTGACTACACTGCCCACAAGTGCCCCAGAGAAGGTTTCAATGTGCCAGGTAGAGGGCTTTGATGTGGCAGTCTCCTGGGACAGGCCTGCCCAGATTGGACATGGCGTCACTATAGATCACTACAAGTTAGAGTATAGAGAAACCATCAGCGGCATCTCCAGTCCTGGGACTAACACATGGGAAAAGATCAGGACAAAAGACAATGAAGTTCTTTACACATTGAAGGGGCTGAAACCAAGTACAACCTATACACTGAGGGTGTCTGCTGTGTGTGGACAGGTGGAGAGTGCACACAGTCACCTCGCCTCAATAACAATAGACAAAGAACCAAAGTCACGGGCCCGAAAGCCTCTCACAGGAAGCACATTATTAACCAGTAGCCACGCTATTTACAAGCTCCCATTACATACACAGAGACTTGGCAAGAATGGAGAGCTTATAAAATACAGCTTTGGAACCCACTCACCCACACAAAGTGAGAAGACCATCTTCCTTCTCGGAGAAAGAGAATTTGGAAAAAGCAGTCTCATCAAGGACATGGTGAACTATATCCTTGGTGTGGAGCAGGAGGACTTGTTTCGTTACAAACTGACTGAGGAAGAAACAAACCGCTCCCAGGCTGAAACATCTTCCATCATCGTCTATGAAGTCAACCACCAAGAGGGATTCAGGGTTCCTTTCTCTCTGACTATTGTCGACATCCCCAGATTTGCAGACGCATCACAAAATAAACACATCCCTGAATACATCAGATGTTACAAACTCTATCATCAGATCAAAGATCTTTTTTCTTCTCAAGAAGGTGTGAAACAAATTGATGCCTTGTGCCTTGTTGTCCAAGCCTATTTAGTGCAATTAACTTCTGGTCAGGAATGCCAATTTAGTTCATTTCTTTCTATGTTTAGTAAAGATGTGACTGAGAACATCCGTGTGCTGGTCACCTTCACGGACAGACAGGTTCCTCCTGTTCTGAGGCCATCACCCAATCTGACATACCGTGTCCCAAAGATGGCAAGATGCCTCTTCACTTCAGATTCAACACCTCAGCTGTGTTCACCCACAACGCAGCCTCTGGAGAGCCCATCGATTGTAGTGACAGTGATTTGGAGGATGATAACTTTCACAGTATGAAACAACTCTTTGCAGCTCTGAGGAAGATGGAAACAAAAACTTTGAAGGAGGTTCTTCAGAAAGGTAAGTGAGAGAGAGAGAGAGAGGAGAGAGAGAGAGGAAAAATGGGAGTGAAATTGTTAATTAAGATTCTATTAACGATTGGACCATCATGATTGGAATTTGAAGGTATGGTGTGAAACAAACTGTTCCTCTTTTTGATGTTTGTCATTGACACTTAAAGCAATGGAAATGAGATACAGGGGGAGATTTTGCACATAAATTTGAGCGAAAAAGCAGCCATACCAACATATTACCTTTATAATCATAAATATTTAAAATAGAAAACATCCCTCATAGAATTCTGAGGGAAGTCAGTGCGAAAGTAGCAGAGGCTCTGAACATCATCTTTCAATCATCGGCTTTCAAATATTTTGAATATGATGAGAGGGATGAAAAGAGGTCAGGTATGTTTACAAAAACATTGGAAGTTACAGCGCAGAATAAGGCTTTTTTGGCCCATCGAGTCCGCACCGGCTGACAAAGGAAAGATATCAATCACACGAATGTTTAATGTATGATATAGTGTATGGAGAGTGGTCAAGAAGGAGGAGTGTGGTATGGGGAGTGACATATCACAGAAAGGACATACGGATGAAATGCAGAGATACATTTAGTCAGACACTGGCTATGGGCAGTGGAATAATCGGGACTGTGAGAGGGCGTTTGAGTTGTTCAGAGCAAGATACAGAAATGCAGGTTTCGATAATATTTAGTGAGAAAGAAGGAGAATAATTGGTGAGAGATGAGGGGAATGAGGTCGGCTCACATGGAGCATGATAATTGCATGGGCTAAATGACGTGCCAGAGTAGAAATGGAGAAGTGGGCAGGGAGGGGACATGGCGCAGGGAAAGTGAGTGGGAGTGGAGCAAGAGATGGTGAGATTGGGGAGGTGAGGAGGGCAGAAATTGGGGTTGAAGAGGTGATCGACTATTGGGGAATGAAGGGGTGGTCAATGATTGGGGGGGAGGAATGTGTTCACGGTGGTCAGGATATTTTGTGTGCTTTATATCTCAACATATTACATAACATAACATGTAGGAGCAGGAGTAGGCCATTCAGCCCTTCGAGCCTGCCCAGCCATTCAATCATGGCTGATCTTCTAATCTAACTCCAGCTAATAACCTGACACTGCCTCATCCCCATATCCCTTAATCCCTTTTGCAGTAAGAAATCTATCTATCTCAGTCTTGAATATGTTCAAGGACTGAGCGTCAATAGCCCTTTGGGTAGTGAGTTCCATACATTCACTGCCCTATCAGTGAAGAAGTTCTTACTCAACTCAATGTTAAAGGGCTGACCTCTGATTTTCAGGATGTGACCCCTGGTTTTAGTTTCTCCAATCAGGGGAAACAATCTCCCACTATCTACTCTATCGTGGAGTCCTGTAGCTCAGTGGTTAGAGCGCTCGCTTTGCAAGCGAGAGACCTGAGTTCAATTCCAGGCAGAGGGCGAAACCTTGGGCAAGTTTCCATACTCCACACAGAGCCTAATAATAATCTCTCCAAAACCAAAAACAGTGATAAATTGGTCATTTTCAATCTACGACTGTTTGTGGGACATTCCAGTGCGCAATTGGCTGCCGCGTTCTCCCGCAAATATACAGTCAATTCACTTTACAGTGTGTTCTGTGAAGCGCTTTGGGACGTCCTCCCGATGTGAAAAGCGCTATATCAACTGCAAGGATTATTATTATTGTGCCCTTTGATGATCTTAAAGGTTTCTATAAGATATCCTCTAATTCTTCTATATTCCAGAGAATATAGGACCCAATTGGTCAGCCTATCCTCATAACTCAACCACTTCATCCCTGGTACTAACCTAGTAGATCTATGCTGCACCCCCTCCAAGGCAAGTACATCCTTCCTTAAATAAGGAGACCAAAACTAGACACAAGTATGGTCTCACCAGGGCCCTATACAGTTGCAGCAAGACTTCCGTACTCTTATACTCTAATCCTTTCATAATGAATGCCAACATACCGTTCCCCTTCCTAATTGTTGCTGCACCTGCAGACTAACTTTCTGTGATTGGTGTACAAGGACCCCAACTCCCTCTGGACGCTAACACATTCCAATCTCTCCCCTTCTAAAAAATAACCTGCTCTACTGTTTTGCTACCGAGGCGGATGACTTCGCACTTCCCTACATTATAGTTCATCTGCCACATACCTGCCCAGTCACCTCACCTATCTATGTCTTGATGCATTTTTTTAATGTCATCCTCTGTGTTGACACTTCCTCCTAATTTTGTGTCATCCGCGAATTTAGATATATTAACTTCAATATCCTTATCCAGATCATTGATGTAAATGGTAAATAGCTGAGGGCCATGGACTGATCCTTGTGGTACTCCATAGTCCCATCCTGCCAATCCAAAAAGGACACGTTTATCCCTACTCTTTGTTTCCTACCCGTTAACCATTCCCAATCCACGTTAATATGCTCTCCCCAATTCCATGGGCCCTTATCTTTTGGAGTAACCTTTTATGCGGCACCTTATCGAATGCCTTCTGGAAGTCGAAATAGACCACATCCACTGATTCACCCTTATCTAGTTTACTGGAAATATCCTCAAGAAACTCTATGAGATTTGTCAAACATGACTTCCGTTTTGTAAAGCCATGTCGACTTGGCCTAATTATATTGTGCTCCCCTGAATACTGCACTACCACATCCTTAACGATTCTAAATATTTCCCTCTTACTGATGTGAGACTAACTGGACTATAGTTCCCTATCTTTATCTTTCCATGTTTTTGAAATAGTGGTGTGACATTTGCAATCTTCCAGTCCATGGGGACTATTCCAGAATCCAAGGAATTTTGGAAGATCAGGCATAAGGCCTCCACTATTTCATAAGCTCCCTCTTTTAAAACCCTGGGATGGAAGCCATCCGGACCAAGGGATCTGTCACTCTTTAGTGCTAACAGTTTCCCTAGCACCAATCCTCTGCTAATGAAAATTTCCCTAAGTTGCTCCTTGCCCATATCCCTTTGGTGCATCTCTATTGTAAATATTATAAATATTATATTATAAATGTGATAAGTAAAACAAGAGAAACTATCAGGCACAATGCTGATGCACAAATGTAGTGCTATTTACATTTTGTTGAATCTGTACACAGCCATTTTCTGTGGACAGTCAGGTGTCTGACATAGGTCACTCTCGTCACCAAACTAAAGAGAATCCAAAACAGACTGAGAGTTTCATGTATCCCTCTGACAATGGAAATCCATGTCTGGAATGGAATCCATGCCCTTCCTGGAGGGAAGCATCCTGTTCACATCATTCTGGAGACCAACAGCTGCAAACTGGCAAGAGCCATGGCTTAGTGACACCGGAGTGTGAGTTGAAGTAACTGCTGGAAATTAACCAGCTGAAACCACATAACTTGCCATTGAGAGCATATTCTGGCAGGATTCCCGTTGCTTGTCCAAAGGGCTGCTCAAGTCACAAGGATTTTGGTATGTCAGGGTCCCACTGGGAGAATCCCTATCCCCAGTGACTGCTGCCTTTCCAAGTCCTGCCAATGAGACAGGCTGGCCCCACCGTCATCAGTCATGGAGTACTGCCAGGCGCAGAGACCAGGCTGGAGATTGCCACAGAACGTGAGCTTGATTCTGATATCACATTGTAGGCATGTTACTGAATAGAATCATAGAATTATACAGCACAGAAGGAGGCCATTTGGCACATCCTCTGTGGGCCAACTGTTTTGAAAGAGTTATCAAAATCAATCCCACACCCCCGCGCTCTCCTCATAGCCCTGCAAACTTGTACTCCTTGGAGCTGAACTGTGTACATTGAAGGCAGTTCAGCTCCAAGGAGACTCCATTAAACCCCCAACCCCGCAACCCCTCCTGCCCCCCATCAGACACATTGCCCCTACCCGCCGCCTCCCGTTGTCACTTATCATCTGACATCCAACGAGCTCCAATGTGCTACCAAACCATTTTGTACCTATTTACCTCCGACAGCAAGGGGCAGACATTACACTGCTGTGCGCAATTGGATGCCGCGTTGCGCCCACAAACTTTACAGTATAGAAGACGTGAAAAGCGCAATATCAAATGCAAGGATTAATTTTATTATTACACGCAGCAAAGACGATGGAGCTGGTCATAAACCAAATGTTGAATAAATAATTCAAAGTCTCCGTGAAACCGAAGTGCTACATTGAAAAAGGGGGCATACTTGTCTCCGCAAGTATAACTAAAACAAGTGTAATCTGAAACGCTACAGAGCTGATAGATCACTCAAAGGAGAAAATCAAAGGAGAAGATCAGCATATTTTACGATTTTTTAAATGTCCACAGTATTGTGGATTTGGAGCTGATAAGCTTCACAGCTAAATAATGCTTTTCACATATTAGAATTAGAGAGTTTATAACCCACTTTTTCATACCTATAAATCCATGTCAAATGGAGTCCTGTAGCTCAGTCGTTAGTGCACTTGCCTCGCAACAAGGAAACCTGGGTTTGACTCCCAGTAGCGTGAAATGTTGGGCAATTTTTCATATTCCACACGCCTCTACTTACGTAGAAGTAGATACGAACCTGGTTGTCAGTCAATTGGCAGATCGGGTGTCGGGATTTAATATTTCCTTTAAAAAAATTTAAAAATTGTCACTCAACCCACGCGTAATTGTGGGACACTGCTAGTGCACCTTTGGCTGCCACATTTCACCAACAAAATATTCAGTTACTTCACTTTACAGTATATTCTGTGAAGCGATTTCAGACATCACGAAAGTGCAGCAAAGACACAACACTTGTTCATAAACCAATTATTATATAAATAATTCAAAGTCTCCTTGAAACCTAAATGTTACATTTAAAAAAGGGGGCATCCGTGTCTTGCACAAGTAACACTAAAATAATAACAAATTGAGAAGCTACAGAGCTGAAACATCACAACAAAAGGTGGAAATCAAAGGAGAAAATCAACATATTTTACACTTTATACTTTTCTGCTCCACAGTGAGGTGAAAAAAAATACTGATGG